GTTAGCTTCACCTCCTCCTCTGCTCGAAGCATACCGTTACCACCGGATGCTAGGACGGTAATCAGTGTAGTAAATGGTTGCAACCAGGTGTGCGTATCGCTTTTTTACAGGCTATTTTCGTAATTTTCGAGCTCGGAGTATCAATTCTACAGTTCAATCTGCTGATTGCTATGATGACAAGGACATATGAAACTATTTATCGTACAAGGAAGGAGTACAAACGACAGGTTAGAAAGAGTATTGCTTTTCACAACCAGGGGTTTAAATTAGGACCAGGTGTTGGGAAAGGAATTCTTGTTGAAACCAATTCATTCTCATGGTATAAGCGTGATATTTATGGTATGAGTGCACTCAAATGATACAGTGATGTTGCTAGTTTTTATTTTAATGCTTTCTTGCCAAAGAGAAATTCAACAGAGCAGAAGTCCAGTGAAGGCAGAAGTTGTAGTTTGCTGAACAACATGCCATGAATTGTTCTCTTGTTACAGTGGGCTCAGGTCATTTTGATGCTGGAGCTTTCGTTGGCACCCAAAGACCGCCTTATGTATCTACTGGAATATTCACGTCCAACAGGCACAAATAAGAAAGTTCGCAGTTTTGTTGTGAACAAATTTTCTAATGTAAGTATTTCATTAATGATTTTCTCTCCCACTCATGCTGTAGCACTATAGCGATATGTACACTGCGTCTCCTAATTATACAGTCACCTAGAAACAGGGTCAACCGTCCGTTGGACAAAGTCCAACGGGGGGGGGTCGTATTTGGCTGACGCTAGAGGGAGGGGGGTCGTATTCGCAGGAGTCAACGTTGCAGTACGAAGAGGTTTTTGGGTGTAGATGACGAGAGGTGGTTTTCGCTATAAGGAACCTAATGTGCGTTGTGATGAAGCTCGCAGTTGTTGGCTCTTGCTGGGACCATCGAACGATTAGAATCAAGACTTAGTTCCCGCGGCAGTAGGTGAGAGGTAAAACTTCAGAGTGTTTCTTCAAATATTGAGCACAAGCGAGGGCATGGCGCACACCAGAGCAGAAGAGTCTACTGCGAAAGTATCCATGCTCACGTACACAAATATAATTCTAGAGGTGAACCAATGCCTTCAAACTGGACATAAGTTAGTAAAAGAGTAACCACTATGGTAGATTGACTTCTAAAGGCTACAAGAAAAGTTTGGGAACAAAAATATTTGCCTGTCGGCAACTTCTTGAAATGGGTTCAGCATCTGTAATGAAGCACAAAGCTCGTGCGATGTCACGGTATCATTATTCCCGATAAAATTGAGTTTGAAGAGAGTTGTCAGTGTTTAAGTGTTGAAAACCTGTGTTTTCAGGAGAGTAGCTCCGAAAATTCATGAAAAAAGAACGGTCCAACGGGGCGATTTTTGACTCCTTCGACTTTAGAAGGAGCTCAAGTATTCAGTGGAAAGCTCTAACCTTCTGCTTCAATTCAGGGGGATAAGAACTGCAAAAAGTTCAATCTGAAGAAAGTTATAACAATTCAAAAAAAGCCAAAAAAGCCTTTTGAAGCCAAAAAACCTGCGCTCTCCAAAAAATCGGTCCACGATTTCCCAAAACGGTCCAACGGGGCGATTTTTTGACTCCGTCAACTTTGAAGAAGTTCAAGTACACGTTGGAAAGCTCTAACCTTCTTCTTCAACCCAGGGGGACAAGAATTGCAAAAGGTGGAATTTGAAGAAAGTTATAACAATTTAAAGCCAAAAAACCTGCGCTCTGCAAAAAATCGGTCCGCGATTTCCCAAAACGGTCCAACGGGGCGATTTTTTGACTCCGTCAACTTTGAAGAAGTTCAAGTACACGTTAGAAAGCTCTAACTTTCTTCTTCAACCCAGGGGGACAATAATTGCAAAAGGTGGAATTTGAAGAAAGTTATAACAATTTAAAGCCAAAAAACCTGGTCTTGCGAAAAAACGGTCTAACGGGGCGATTTTTTGACTCCGTCAACTTTGAAGAAGTTCAAGTACACGTTAGAAAGC